GATGAATTTATTTATTGGTTTATTAATATGAAATTTGATTGGTTAAATTTGAAGGTACGATATTTTATTTAAAATTTCTTTTATATGGTTTTAACATGTATTAATTTTGTAGGATGGAATATCATATCGACAACGATCTGAGGGCTCATTCGGAAAAAGTTACGACGTATTGTAACTTTTCCAGCTATGCGACAGTACTTGAGGGGCTGGACGAGGAGCATATTGACTTACTCCGTCGATCATTTTTATGGTCGTTCTATCCGTTGAAGGACGTGCAGTTCTCTGGACAGATTGTTGATTCTTTATTACTCCGGCTGCTTAAACCAGTCGATGGCGATCAGTTACATTTTGCTATTGGGGACGGGAAGGTATGTAGATTCTCGATCCTTGAATTTGCCCTGATTACGGGCTTGAGATGTACCGGGGAAGAAGAAGCTAGAACCCGTATTATACGAAATAAAAGGTTATTGGATTTATATTTTGGAGGTAAAGGGCCAGTTACACCACCACAGTTAGAGGACGCATTTAGGAAATGCGATCACATGTTAGACAAGTTGAAGTTAGGGTTGGTGTATATACTGGAGAGTATATTGAGGTGTCGACATCGTAGAACGTCGATTGATCTTTTTTCATTGGATGTTGATGATATCGATGCTTTCAACAGCTTTCCATGGGGTCAGAGATGTTACACCGATACTCTCCATGTATTCAGAAGGGTTACTATGCCGAAATCGGAGAGGGGCGATCGCAAATATGATGTATATGACTTTTGCATGGCTTTGCAGGTAAATATTCAGTGTAACGTAATGCATGTTGAACTTTTTTATTAAATATATATGTAAAGTTTTATTTTGTAATTTTGCAGCTGTGGGCATATGAGGCTATCCCTGCTTTGGGTAGCGAATGGGCGATCAGAAGGGAGACTAGTTGCCCACGAATGCTTCATTGGCGAGTACATGAAAAGCCATCGGCTAAAGATTTGATAGTTATCCTCGACGATCCTCAGGTGAGTATTATATATTTGCAATTTATATTGTACATACATTTACTCGGGTCGATACACATTCGTTAACACGTTAAAATATGGTATGTCAGCTCGAAGTTCATGCTGAGTTGGTTGTCTCGGTGGAAGAGGAGGATGCAATATATGTACGTGAATTACTTGTTCCCCCTACTGAAGACGATCCAGTATTTGAGTCCGTTCCGGATAGAAATATAGTACGTTTATTTAAGTTCATTATTTATTTTGACTTATAAATTCATGTGCGGATTATTAATATTAATTGTCTTCTCTGTGTAGGAGCGCCATCCGGAACTTCCACTTAGGAGATCTCCTTCGCCTCCACCGATGAGATCTCCATCACCTCCACCGATGAGATCGCCTCTACCGCTATTATCTCATTCTCCGAGGATATCTCCGTCTCCCGTACCCACCCACCTCCCACATGGATCGCCTACACTCAGTCAGACCCGTCATTCAGATGATTTCTTTGCACGCATGACTGGCATTATTAGAGAGGAGCTGGGAACGATGCGCCGTGATTTGATGACAGAGGTAGTCGCATTACGAGGGGAGATAGGGGTATTGCGACGGGATTTTACGACAGAGATCGTCGCAGTACGAGAGGAGATAGGGGTGCTGCGACGAGATTTTACGACAGATATAGTAGCTTTGCGAGATGAGATTGGAGTGCTGCGACGAGATATAGGAGACCTTCATACTGAGGTTGCAGCACTTCGAGGCGATGTAGTAGGCGTCCGAGGGAATGTCGGGGAGACTGGTGTCCCTCGAGATTGGTGGGCAACGGCCGGGGGAATCGATGAGTTTTTTGGTTCGGTGCCGGAGGCCGAGAGGGAGGGGGTGGAGGTCGGGCAGGAGGAGCCGGAGGAGGCCGGGATGCCCGGGGTGGAGGTCGGGCCGGAGGTGCCGGAGGAGGCAGAGATAGAGGAGGTGGAGGGAGGGACAGGGGTGGTCGAGGAGGTAGCGGAGGGGACATCAGAGGTGGTAGTAGAGGGGGATGATCAGGTTGCGGAGGATGAGAGGACGCCGGAGATGACGGATGACGAG